AAAAAAGAGTACTGTTATACCTTTCAAATCCAATTTTTGTTATAAAATTTCAAAAAAGATTCTCAGTCAGAATTAATACCACAGTCAAGTTAAACACCAGGAAGCTACATTACTGTAACTTAATGTACAGAAAGGAATGTTTCAGAACAGAGAAATTAGGATGAAATGAATTTTGGAATATTTTTAGCATCACGTCCCAAAAACTCTGTACCCATTAGCAGTTATTCCCTTTTGCCATGACGCCTCGCCCCAGTCTCTAGGCAACCACCAGCATTTTGTCTGTCTCAATAGAGTTATCTATTCTGGACATTGCCATGTAAATAGGATCATACAATATGTAGTCTTTTGTGACTTCCTATTTTCACTTGGCAAAATGTTTACGTTTCACCTATATTATAACATGTATTAGTATTTCTTTTGATTTATTGTTAATCCATTTTATGGATATACTACATTTTATTGATCTGCTTATCAGTTGATAGGTGTTTGTTTCCACTTTCTATTATGACTAATATTGCTGTAAATATTATTCATATACAAGTTTTTGAGAGGGTATGTTTTTCTTTCTTTTGCATATATACCTAGGAATGGAATTACTAGGTCATATGTTAGCTCTTCGTTTAATCTGTCAAGGAACTTCCAGACTGCTTTTCTTTTTCTTTTTCTATTCTTTTCTTTGAGACAGATTTTTGCTCTGTCACCCAGGCTGGAGTGCAGTGGCACCATCTCAGCTCACTGCAACCTCCAGCTCCTGGGTTCAAGTGATTCGTCTGTCTCAGCCTCCTAAATAACTGGGCATACAGGCACATTCCGCCACACCTGGCTAATTTTTGTATTTTTAGCAGAGATCTGGTTTCACCATATTGGCCAGGCTGGTCTTGAATTCCTGACCTTGTGATCTGCCCACCTCGGACTCCCAAAGGCTGGGATTACAGGCCAGATGGTTTTTCAAAGCCCTGCACCATTTAACATTCCCACCAGCAATGTCTTGGATAGTTTAAATTTCTCTGCATTCAAGCCAATACTTGTTGTTTGTGTTTTTGATTATTGCCATCCTAGTGGGTGTGAAATGATATCTCATTGTAGTTTTGATTTGCATTTTCCTGATGACCAGTGATGTTGAATGTCTTTTCATGTGGTGATTAGGCATTTTTTTTTTAAGACAAATATCTGTTGAGTTACTTTGTCTGTGTTTTAACTGGACTATTTGTCTTTTTATTTATTTTATTTTATTTTACTTTATTTTTGAGACAGTCTCGGTCTGTTGCCCAGGTTGGAGTGCAGTGGCACATTCCTGGCTCACTGAAACTTTGGCCTCAGGTTCAAGTAAATCCTCTCACCTTAGCCCCTCAAGTAGCTGAGACAATAGGTGCGCATCCCCACACCCAGCTTTTGTATTTTTAGTAGAGAAGGGGTAAAATCTTAGCCGTTCTCATTTACCAAAATTCTTTTTTTCTTTTTTTGAGATGAAGTCCCGCTCTGTCACCCAGGCTGGAGAGCAGTGGCACAATGTTGGCTCACTGTAACCTCTGCCTCCTGGGTTAAAGCTATTCTCCTGCCTCAGCCTCTTCAGTAGCTGGGATGACAGGCGCATGCCACCATGCCTGGCTAATTGTTGTGTTTTTAGTAGAGATAGGGTTTCACTATGTTGGTCAGGCTGGTCTCGAACTCCTGACCTTGTGATCCGCCTGCCTCACCTCTCAAAGTTCTGGGATTACAGGTGTGAGCCACCATATCCGGTCCCTGATTTTTTTATCCTAAAAGTACCAATTGCAGTATCTTTAGTTTTTCAGATCTGCATCTTTTGACTTTGTTTCTGCTGTTTCCCATTTATTCTGCCTAGTTCCCTGGTATGTTTTATGAACTTTGACTACGAACTTCTCCCTTTTATGGAGCTTTATCTGTTGGAATTCTGTATGGCCTTGATTGATACTGTAATCTTTCAGGGAGGAATTGTATTTGTGTCTGCCAATAGCCTGGAGACCCAGCTTGGGTTTGCTTTAGAACATATTTATCTCAGATTTTTCAGACCACATTGTGTGAGTTTAGATTGCAGACTTTAGTGAGGGGGTTATGAGTTCTTGGGGCAAATTTTCCCTCTCTGAACAGCATCAAGTAGAGATAGACATATTTCCTTCTGTTGTGGTTGCTTTCTTATCCACTGAGGTTGCAGCCTTATGTGTGGTCCCTAGCTTTATGTTGCAGTATCCTGTTAGACTTCCCATTTTGGGCATGCCCTAGACTTTGCCGTTCTATAAAGTATTGTCCTCTGTGTACTATTCTGCAAAAATACTGTGCCCTGTGTTGCTGTCCGTGTAGAAGCTCAAGATTTCTAGGATTTGGCGAGAATCCTTACATTTCTCTCATGTCCCCTGAGGTTCTAGTTTCATTTTCTTTTTTTCTTTTTTGCCTCTGTGGATTTGTACTAGCTTAGCGATAAGTTTTAATAGTTTTTCGGTTTTTAATTATTTTACCCAGCATCTTAGTAGTCTTAATTGTAGAATCAGTTCAGGGAATATAATTTCCCATGCTGTCAGAATTGGATCTGTAGCATTGCATAATTAACATAGTTGTAATTACTGTGTGTACATTTACTAGTTTTGTTCTTAGTATTTTTATGTATAAATTTCCTTCTAGTTATTTTGACCATGCTGTCATGTTTTGTGGTTGTACCATAGTTTGTGCAGTTATCTTTGTATTTGTTTGTTTTCAACTTTACGATTTAAATAGTGCTACCAGGGAGCTGTATCCATCAACTTAAAAGTCATGTGTTTTTCTTCCCGTAGGTCGAATTGACATAAAACAGTTGATAGCAAAGAAGATACAGTTGACAGCAGAGGCAGAGGCAAGTAATTCCCTCTTCTAGAAACAAACTTGTAGAGTTTTAGAGTTTTGTTTGGCAACATTTTAAATGCTAAATTGCTCAGATAGTTATTTAAGCAGTACATCAGTTGCTGTTATCCTGTGGAACAAGAAAATAAGATCTGTCAACCTGGATCCTGCGGAAGGATCCAGACTGCCTTTTTCCCCTCCCATCTCATCGATCACTGGCATTTTCTGGCTCTTCCAGCAAATCTTGGTTTTAGTGACCCATGTTAATAGTTGATAGAGTTGAATGTCTGTATGAGTGCTTTATGAAAGTATCTGTCATGGTTCATAGTAAATAGCAGCCTTCTAATAAATGTTGAATCTGAATCTAGAAGTAGATTTCCTGTCAAGGAAGTAGAAATAATAACTCAAAAAAAAAAAATAAAATCATGGAATCATTTCAAGTGGGGATAAATAGTTCTACAAACCAGAATTCTTCAGTACCCTCAGGAAATTGTGGAGAGAAAAGAATACTTTAAAAAAAAATTATAATTCTATACCTGGGTATAAGTTGACTTTAAATCCAAAGCAAATTCCTATTTTCCCAAGGAGAAGATCACTTCCAAAATTTATTGGCCAGTTTGACTATATAAACATCCAGTGATGATGAAGTAGGCCTGTTTTATTTATTTAGTTACATGCATATATGCATGTACATATGCATTTATAGAATAATCTAGATTTAGAAACATTTTTGTAATCATGTTTCATGAAATTATGTATGCCAGATTATTTATGCTCACTTTGATGTCAACGCATTTGTTATTATCAGAGCTAGTTTTCAGTTATCATCCAAGGCCAGGGGCATAGTATTTGCACTTTTATCTAATTGGTTGGAGGTCAGTACTGTTTGAGTTCAAGGATGTGCTGTCACAGAAAATTTATTACAAGAACCTATTTGTTTGAGGAGATCTGCCCTGCTCTCCTCCCATCGTCCTGTAGATATATTTGTGATGTCTACAATGTAATCCCTTATGGTACTGCTTTATAAAGTGGTACTGAAAAGATGTATTTACTGCACTTGAAATTGTGGGTGTAGACTCCTTGTTAATAGGGTGTTAAACTTTATTTTTTCTGATTCTGTTAAGTTACTCGTGTAAGCCTCCAGCACTGCAGTGATCAAGGTCACTTCTGGTGAACGTCTTTTCCACTTAGTGCTTTGTTTCTCCATCATAAGAGATTGTTTAAGGATTTGTTATGTAACTTCTTATCTAATGACTAATTTATAATTTTGGCTAAGAAAAGAAAAATATTTAATGTATAAGCAGATGCTAGTTTTAGACGTCTATTCTTTCTTGCAAGTTTAGTGATTAAAATAGTTTTTGTTTTTGTGGTTTACTTGGGTGTTTCTGACCCTTCTTATTTCTCTAGTCAGGCAGGATACCTACATTTGTCTTTTATTCCTTTTTCACTTCTCCTTTTGTCCTCTTTTGCTCCCCCATTTCTTATCAAGAACACAAAACTGCCGGGCGCGGTGGCTCAAGCCTGTAATCCCAGCACTTTGGGAGGCCGAGGCGGGTGGATCACGAGGTCAAGAGATCGAGACCATCCTGGTCAAC